GACCGCTGGACTCGAAGCTTAAACGGGGGAGGTAACGGTATTGCAATTGACTATTTATAGACAAATGATGAAATCTGAGGAAAATTGAACTCGGGGCACATGACCTAACGAGTCAAAAAAATTCAGTTTCAGTGACCATGGCCTTTCACTTTAACCTCATAATTAATGTTGAACTACTCCTATCCGAGTAAAGGCTGCCTATGAATTTTAATTACATGAAAGAAGGGAAACTTGACTCATCCTGCAGAAACGAAAATAACATTGTTTTAACTATGAAGTTGGTACTAGCAACACCGACTCTCCCAAGGAAAAGGTTTCTGCCACACCCACTATTCATGGGCAAGACACAAATGAGGTTTGAAACAGGAAAAAAAAACCAACCCCACAGCAAGCTAAACTTGTATTCCTGGAAACAATATGTCTACGGACAAAATACATGTATACGGACTTAAACGTATCGCCATCGATGTATCATCGTGTACCTTTGGTCCAGAAAGCAAGAGGAAACTCGAGCTATTGAGAACAAACTTTGACACTGCTGGTCCTTCATTCTGGATCAAGGATTTTACATGTCAAATTCACTAGGAATCAGTGGTTGCATTTGGATAAGGGTTACGTACCTGGCATGGATCAGGAGAACACGTGCACCGCGGGCATGTATCTAGGAATCCAAAGAAGCAGGCGACTCTGCATTGGACATTACAATTTCCTGAAGAAAAACAAAAAGCCGTTTGATAAAGACGATATTCCCTGGACATCAAATTCCGATGAATTTATTGCGACGGATTATTTTTTATGTTCATGAATACAGGCATTTTTGCGAGTGTGCGTGTGATAATACGATCTTAATCAAATTACTGCACAAACTGGAATTTCTGAAAAGCTGCAATCTATGCATTTGAAATAAAATAATTTAGTGAATCGTCCTTAAATACAAAAGCGCATATTATTATTGATACATCAATAACAGTCAGCTATCTATTTCATTATACATTTACCACGTTGCAAATGTCAACAGGCTACATTAATCGAATGCTATTTACTTTAAAATTAATTAAATATTTTTACAGTCAAAGAAAAATTACAGATTTATATCTGGTGAATTCGTTACATAAAAATACAAGTGATAGGGCACGATGAATCGAACAATCTGTTAATCGATCCATATTGTGATTAAAACGATTACAAATATAGGAGTTATCTGCTCGATATGTTAGGTAGTCATTTTAACACACTGAAAATGATTCATTTATGTTGAATTTAAAATAACTGTTTACTTAATTTCAAAAACAAGTGTCTATCACAGCAAAAGTAATTAAAAACTGTAAATGTTCTTAATCAGTGAATGCATATGGATTCCATTTAGAAACTGTAATTATATTGTACTGTCTCTTTCACAGATGACATGTAACATTGTACTAACGACGTATTGACCTGAAGAGCACCAGTTACGTCCCTTTAGAAAACAAAATTATAAGTGAAGCTTTCGCGGTGTTGAGAACTGGGTTTGATCTCAAGACAGACAAAAAAGGAAGAAAAAAATCCCGTAGTTGTTTTCTTATTTTTTTAAAAAAAATAGTACGGAAATAGAAGAATTATTGCAACTAATTTTATTTTTAAAAATATTTATTATTATCTGAAACCATCCTCCTGTAGTGTCATGCAAAAGAACCGAGAGTATTGGATGTATTGAGAAAATATAAAAGTAGTGGTATTAAAAATAGTACGATTCTTCTTCCATTGGCCTTATCCCACGCATCAATAAACACACATAACAAGACAATTAGAGAAAATCAAATTTCAGTTCTGCTATTATATCCACAACTATTACCATAATTAGATCCTGCTACCCTGTAATTTGAATTGTTACTAAAAATGGAGATTATAAAATCTCCAAATCAATTGTAAACGAATCATCATACAAAACATATGTATCGAATATATAATTATTAGTTCAAAAGGCCAAAGAATAGAGGATAATGCTTTACTAAAATCGATAATTATTACCGCAGAAGGACTAGCGAGAAAATATTATCTTACAGAAATCGATATTTATTGACACATTTCGACTATCGTGTTTCTGGGGTTTTTTTTATAAATTTGTTTTTATATCTTGCTTATATAAACGGAGATAATAAAATCAGTAAATATGACTGCTCTGTGTCACCTTCATCGCCAAAGGAGAGATGTATTGAAGCAACAGCCATTAGCTTTGCAAAATTCTTCTATAGTGATATTTTAATTCAGCATACAAACAAAGCTTACTGAAGTTATTCTGTGCAGTGTTTTCGTAAATGAGTTCACTTGATCTACGCGTATAGCACAGTGTTAAAGATAAAACGGTCTGTGGGTAAATTTGCACATTGTTTAAATAAATTAATCTCTCTCTCTCTCTCTCTCTCTCTCTCTCTCTCTCTCTCTCTCTCTCTCTCTCTCTCTCTCTCTCTCTCTCTCTCTCTCTCTCTCTCTCTCTCTCTCTCTCTCTCTCTCTCTCTTTTCAACCTGCCGTTTTGTAGGGATTTTTCTTCTCTCAATGGCTTAAGTCAGTGAACTATGGCCTCATTTAGGTGTTAAGGGTGTATGTTGATATTACTTGAGATGACAGTGCATGTTACAGTGTAGCATACTTTATATTCTCGGGATGTTTCACTTTTGGAATTACTTCCGTAGATCCTAGTCTTTCGTTGTAAAAAGCATAAGATTTGCCGTTTCGACCTAGAAGTTCCACTGAGGATTTAATCAACCGTGCATTTTAAAAGATTCTGGTCTGACGTGATACGAGCATACAAAGTATATAATCTTCCCAATTAAAGGTAAAAAAACTTAATCCTACTACTTGGAAAGTCCAACCACAACTAAAAAATCGCTTAGCCCAGGGCTAAACAGACCAGAAAGAGCAAATGGGCCTTTGTCGAGAGCTACGATTGAAAGATTAAATAATGAATACAAAAGAGTTATTAACTATATATTATATTTTCTTCATTTCTCCTTTGTCACCATATCGACATCATACACAATTAGATCTGTGAAAAAATAAATTCTTAAAACTACACAATACTACATAAATTACAATACAGTTCAATACAACCTTTTCGTAATGCTTACAAAGTTGCATAGGGAAAGGTTCCAAGAATAAAATACCAGGTTAGATATATATTTTACCAAAGCTTCACATTCATTTAGCAATAGTATGGGAACAATTTAAAAAATGTGGAAAATTCTGGTAAGTCCAACGGCAGCAACAGTTTTAACAACACGTTTAAAGAGAATTTAGACAGTAGCATTGTCATGCATTCAAAAAGTTTTTTTACTCCCCAGGGACATGTTACTCAATGATGTTATAGCCGCCTCTAATGCTGCGTAGTAAATTATACGTTCAGCACATTTTGTATTGGACATTTAACATATACAAATCTATAAGATTTGTGGTATCTTGTAGCTGCTGCTAGACTCTACCGATGATTTTATTTGCAAGGTCTGTAAAGCTGGACTTTAGCCCCTCCCCCCCCCCGAGCCTTGTTGTTCCTTTGGAACATTAGACTCTGCCATTCTGTCGTCATTCTGTACAGTTACCTCTGGTAGTGATTTCAATTTATAACTGATATAGATAATACGAATATGCAATCAAGACCTGTACTTGTATAGGTCTTCCGCTTTCTCTGCTTTTAACTCTCCTCCCTATATGATATGCATGATCTCGTTTATTTGTTCGAGATCATCATCTCTTTGTTCCATTACATTTTGCTCCTTTACAAAACTAAAAGTACGTTCAAACATTTCTTTTATGTCATGTTGACTATTGAACAAATAAGGTCTTCTCTTTGCCAGTAGTCTGTATGCCTCTTCCATTATTTTTTTTTTCTTCTGTTAGGTCATACGTTTTTCCACAATGTCTTTCTATTTTAGCTGTTGCATGTCCTCTTTTATTCTTACGATTTGCTTGCTTCATTAGGTGTGCTAATTCATTTATCTCGTTAGGGTGTTGGATTCAGATGCTGTTTCAAATTCCACATGTGCCTTGTTGAGTGAGGACAGTGGGAATACTGTTAAGGCAAAATGGCTGGCTGCTTGTTCGTGACAACAAAAAAAACTTAATTAATTGTTAACAAAAGCCACTAGCTGACTGCCACAAAATGATACAGTTTTTATCCCAATCTGATTAAATGTCGAGACAGAAATGAAAGCATTCCCCAGATGTATGGGCTTCCGCGCATATTCTAATGATTTCAGATGTTTTTTTATATAAAAAAAAACAAAACAAAACAAAACAAAACAAAAAACATGCGATAGGCGTATTCTGATCATTCCTGCGGCGAAATTACTTTGATACCGTCATAATTTCCTGAGGTTTCTGGAATTTTGTTTTCTTTTCATACAGTTCCTCTGACAATATCATGCAGTCGGGGATATACCAACCTTTTTAGTTACTGAAACATCAAGTAGTACAATTCGAACACTGATGTTTCTGCCATCGTTAACACTGATGCCCATGAGAGCTCTAGTCAGTTGCAGTCTTCAGGTGACCAAGATAAAACTGATGGACAAGGAGGAAAAGGGGCGATGATTTAGCAGCATAGTCTGTACGCATATTAGTCATGTATTTATCGTGGCGTTAAAGTACTGTCCAGCAACTTTTACTAAGTGTTTGTCCACAATCTAATTGTCCACAATCTACTCCATATATGAACATCGCTTGTAAAACGACTCCAATAGCAAACTGTACAAACCAAGATCTGCGATAATGCGACGGCAGATGGGTATGTTATGTCTGTCAAGAGTAATTAGTAGAACAAATAAGATAAACCCTGATCTGCAGGTACATTATGCTAAGACAAATCGGGATATTTGTCGTTTGCTATTTGACTCGACTTATACGCAAGTAAAAGCAGTAGATATGCATGTTATTACTAAAAATTCTTGTAAAGTTCGAACTGTATTCGTGTTTGCAAATATGGAAAAAAATTGGTTTGTTGTTTCGTTATATACATATTCAATTCAACGCTCTAATGGTTTAGTGGTTAGAACGTCCGCCTCGGATGTAGGAGGTTGCGGGTTAGAACTCCGGCCGAGTCATACTAAAGACTTATAAAAATGGTGCCAGCAGCTGCCTTGCTAGGCGCTCAGCATTAAGAGGTCAGTGTTAGGACTGGTCGACCTGGTGTCAGGGTAATGTGATTGGGTGAGGCATGATGCTAAATGTCTGTGGCATGATACCCTAGTGCTAGACATCTCTATAAACTACTACAATGCAGACATCGAAGCGATACGACTGAAATATTGTTAAAGCTACGTTAAAAATCCAAAACACACATATTCAGTTCAAGTCACTGACAATGTATGGAAAGAAAATAGCATTACATATATTGTATAGAAACATTGGAAAGTAACACAGTACGCTTCATTTCCGCTGAATGTGACTACCTTGAATTATATATAAAAAAAAGACTGTAGACTGACAGAACGTTTGGTGGAAAATTTCTCTCAAACTCATCATAATATAATTTAATGATGCAATGACAATAAACACGCTTGCAGGATGGAGTAGTAGTAGTAGTAGTAGTAGTAGTAGTAGTAGTAGTAGTAGTAGTAGTAGTAGTAGTAGTAGTAGTGTATGAGTGTTTGATTTATATTTTTAACATAGCTTTAACCATTTTAGTCATATCGCTACAATATCTGAAGTGTAGCAGTTGATAGTGAATTGGGTCATCATGCCGCAGACATGTAGCACCATGTCCCACCCAATTACATTATCCTCACACCACGCTGACCAGTCCTAACACTAACATCTGAATGCTGAGCGACAAGCGAGATATAGTAGTAGTAGTAGTAGTAGTAGTAGTAGTAGTAGTAGTAGTAGTAGTAGTAGTAGTAGTAGTAACTTAGCAGTGAAACGTATGTAGTCACAAACAAAATGCAAACGTATTCCTTATCTTGGACAGGTGGGAGAATTTTCTGCAACACTATACGGCAAATATGATTTTGCTCAACTATTATACCCGAGTCTTCGAGACTTTTTACACGAGAGACTCTGGACAGTGCATGTCCATGCCTTCCAGAATGGAGTGTTTGTGTTGAGCTGAAACATTATTGTCACAATGGATAAGGAAGACATTATCTGCATCACGAAGCATTGACCTTTGATTTTAATTTATTTATTTTCTTTTTCTATGTATAGCACCAGTTAAGTTCTGCTAAACCTGTTTAAGGGTTATGATACATTTATGTTTTACAGCTTTCATACTTTCATTGTGATCCCCTTTAGAACCCCATTTATTTCTCTTCTAATACAAGAAAATAGTTGGGATGGACTCGAATACAGAAATAGCTATATTCTGTGCCAAGAGGTGGATTCCGATACAGCAATATGTATTTTGTGCCTTGGGATGGACTCCAATAAAACAATACATTTTCTGCTTTGATCAAGGTTAAATGATTAATGACATATTATGATATGCAAATTAGATACTAGAAGCAGTATTTGAAGTATGGACTTTACGGTCTTTTTTACTCTTTCTTGTCTCTGATTGCATATAGATTGTATAAGGACGACGGGCAGGACAATGGGAGGATCTGTCGACTATCATGATTCGTTACGCAACCATGTTTTAATTTAAATTTTATCTCCTTACATTCTATTATCAATCGTGCACTAAATTTGCATGAAGACGTAAATTAAGTACCCTCGTATTATAAGGGCAACAAAAGGGATGGGGATAAAAATGGAACCTAAGAATGATAGTGGATACACAAGTTTATTTTCCATCTGTGTCCATAACGCCACACATTTCGGTCAGCGAACATGTACACTGTAGAATTAATTAGAAGAGAGTGGTCCAATTACAGGCCCGCGGGCCAAATTGTTGCTAGAACAAATTCTGTATTTAGTTTCCGAAACATCGCTAAAATTTTACAACGTCGAAAAGATTTAAATTTTATTTTTAAATAACTCCTACAACTATTTAGGGTTCGATTAACCAGACCTTATCGCAGCAGTGCAACTAAATACATATTTCTTTGATACGAATGAATATGCAGCACTACATAAAATAAAGGAATATCACATCAAAAGTACATGGAATGATACATTTTTCCAACCGAGTAAATCATTCACACCGAAAATATAATTATGTATTTTTGTTTATATGCGCTAATAATGTTCATGCTCCCATCCCAATATATGCTAAGTACTACCAAAAATATACCTTTCTGCATTACTGATCGGCATTCGGCTTTCATCGGACAATATGGAGCATAGTAACAGTCAGTTGGTACAACTTGACATCTTTTCGTGGATCCGCATTTAGTATGCTATAAAAATGCATAGTTAAAATAAGTCTCGTGACTTTTGTTTTCGTAATGTATCAGTCATGTTTAATACACGGAGCTATTCATGAACTTCGTGTAATATATGTAATACGTATGTACTGGGATATAATAAAGAGCGAATAATTTTTACGTGTTTGTGTTACAGGTATGCATCATCTTGCTAGAAATTAACTGGACCCATAAATGTGAGAACAAATATTTTAGCACAAATAAAGTATGCATACGATTCGTTTCATACTTTTTTTCTAGCCTTCTAATTTGCTAACTGAGATTTTATATTAAATATAAAAGTATAAAAATATTATATTAAAAATATACTTACACTATGTCTTTACTAACAATACGGATAGATATGTTTGTACACACACTATACGTATTGAATAGAATTCCGGATGAATACACTGAACCTTATACTCTGGTTTAAAGTGTATTAAGAAAGTAAATATATTCCAAACTATCTCAGAAACCTTTTCCAAGACTGGCAAAAGGTATTTTTTATCTTTGTAATTTGTTTGATATTTGTCGATTTATATTTTTTGGATTGTTAAACGTCTGAGTTTTACTTTAATTATCCCGGTTTCCTGAAAAATAAATTGTGCACTAAATACAACAGATACAACAAATTATAGTATGGTAATATGTTTAAGTAACGATATTCTGCACATATACTATCCCAAAAGACTACAACGATTCACAGCTGGGTTTCCATGTAAATCTTAGTGTACACAATTTGGGAACAGATGCGGAACGAATGAGAAAAGTGTTAACGTATAATTATTATCTACATGTCATGAGAAGAGAGAATATACAGCAAAAATGTCGAAGGCTTTATAGCCCTTTTCAGCTACGATAGGAATACAATATTTTTAAATATAATTATTCTTAAAAATCATCTAGACACTAAAACATGTAATTGTTTGATGCAGTTAATTATTTATATGACGAGTACAAGTTTCCTCAAATAAAATCCAATAAAGAACTGTATTTACCTTGCACGGGTTCTCCGCGCAAGTACATCTAGGGCACGTGTCTCTGAATCCATACATGCAGGCCTTTCTACATTGAATGCTACAGGTTCGGTTGGCTGTAATGATAAGCAATAAATAGACATAGATAGTGTACAAGTAACTAACAGTAAATTGTTTTGGGATTCCATTCACCATTTGATGACTCAGAGTAAAATTTAATTGAATTCTCTGCTCCGTCCCCTCAAAAATGACTGAACAAAGTCGCCGATCTAGGCATTATAACCACGCATATCGACAGAATAATTAATGTTCATTTAAGTACACAACAGTTCCGGATTACAACGAAAAAAATCAATAAATATAGAAGTTTTTATGGGAATTTACAAAATCAGAGCAAAAGTGCTATCCTTGGATCGTACAGGAAGATACGTGATAATATAAAGTGAAATGTAAATATTGAAGAAAAAAAAGTATTACACAGGTTTGACATTCGTGTTATATCAACGACTTTGTTCCATCCTTTTATGGGTGGAATGTGTGCTAAGTCGAGGGGGTATATGGGTTGCTGAGTGCAAGCAATTGAACTTATGTGTATGAGATATGACACTTTGGACGAAATTGGCCAGTTTACCAGTTCGTCTAATAAATTAGTCTCCCAAGTCTTGCTGATACTGATACACGATATGTGGGTATGATTTCACCTGTTCAATAAATATAAAACTTGTATAGAATTTAAACATTTACCGATATTTCGTAACAGCCATATCTACCAGAAATTCAAAATAACCACAGGATAGAGGGTTGTGCTATTCAACGTGGATTTACAAGTTGCCGAATATTTTATCTGGAAATTATATATATATATATATATATATATATATATATATATATATATATATATATATATATATATATATATATATATATATATATATATATATATATATATATCAAAGGGATCTTCAGCTGACGGTAGCTAAACAGCCGCAAGAAATACATGAAAGTGTATAAAATATACACTTATGTGTGCAGATAAGAGTGTCTGCAAATATTTGTAGGTTTTAATAAAGATATATCAGCCTCAAATCATCAAATAATATCATTACAGGTGTGGGGCTTTTTAACGGCCTATCTACCAGTTTACTAGGACAAGATAAACCTTTTTTACTTTGACTTTCGGAATTATATTAATTTTGCATGTCTTTTATTGGATAAGATGAAAATAATGCAGTAATTTGTTTGCCTTACAAATAATCCACTACTCATCGGCTTGTAGGACACTGACTCGATAACTTAAACTCCACGAATGGTGTAAGAGGTTTGATACTTTGGTTTAAAAAAAAAAAAACAAGACTTGTGTCCCCGATTTCATGGCAGCCTCTTTACCGCCTATGATGTACTTTGCTCTGTAATTTTCCGGTTATTCGTCACACTCTTTATCAGTCATCCGTAAAACAAATTCTAGGCATTAATTAAATATTGACGATGGCATTTTCCCCCAATTATCAGTCAGTACTTTGGGAGATTCAATCTCGTGATTTTCGGATGTATTTCATTAGCGATCCATCCTGTTTGGTTTTATATTTGTATGTACGATTCCCCGAGTGACTGAGTGGTCCTCCGATTACTGTCATCTCACCTGACAGCGCTGGTTCGAGTCTTGCCAGTAGCTTCAGTTGGGTCGTTGGTTCTTAACGGATTTGTCCAGGGTTGCTCCTCCATGATTTATAATGGCGGCCATGTATAGACTACACTGGTCCACATTTTTTTTAGAAGTCG